CAAAGTACTCTTGATCATTTTATGATCAAATTATTTGGAAGTAAATTCAAGATCATATGAACTTGAATATCAATAAACTTATAGTCAAGCAAAAATTATCAAGGAGTTGAACCATTGATACTAAAAATGATGAGATTTGAGTCCAACTGAGCTCAAATTTGTCAAGGTATGATTGAAAATTCTAGAACATTCATTGAATATCCAAATGATATTCAAATTTTGTATGCTTATAAACATACTCAAGATCACTTAATTTTGATATTTGATATGTCACCAAAATCCCACATGATCCAACATGAATTTCAATACAAAATGGGTAATAAATATTTTAGTTATAAAGATATTACGAGGGTTCTGAATTCAATAGCTTTATAACTAATTTGAAGACATTGATAATATGAACCCAACGATACTAAAAGTGGTTTGATCAAAGCCCAAATGAGCTCAGATTAAATACTTTTGGAAGTTTTAAAACATTAAGTGAATGATTAAATAATCTTAAAATTTGACATTCGTACAATCAAATTTAGTGTTTCGATTAGAGGAATCCAACAAGTCCAAGATAAGTTGATATTTTGGAATTGTGAAATTGTGGGGTTAACATTCAATTTTCCGAGAACACATACATATAATTTTTGCAAAATCACAATATTTTAAAGAATAAAATTCATATATTTTTTTTGTTGATTAGGAAATGAATATTACTAATTGAATATTAAAAAAAGTACAATGTCTCTCAACTCTCGACAGATATTAGAATTATCGATAGTAGAATAAAGCACATTATAACATAAAATTTTAAGGTACTCATAGATTCACAAATACACCTCCAACAAATCTCCATCATTCGACACAAATCATAAGACACGACATGGATCTCGAAACATCCTTTTGGGCAAGAAATGTTCAAACTTTGATTAAAAATCATCCAGTGCTATAATTGCAACAAAATTATAGTCAAACTGACTAGTTTGATGAGACGGACCCAATTATATCATCATTAATATAATCTGAACCAAATTGATCCCTGATCAAACCATTAAACTATATTTGGATATTTTTGGATAAATTTGGAAGGCCAACGAATGTCAAATCTAGCGAGTTCATAATCGAATCGAGCGTCGCATTGAGACAAAATCATTGAGCCCAAAATTACTCAATTCCAACATCGTTAACACACTCAAATGTCCATTAAATGTCATCTGATTAAGAGAAGCTCTCTGAGCCGTCCAATTAAAGTGGTTCATATTCCTGCATTAATTCCACCTTAAACTCTATAAATAGATCACTCTCTCTTTCATGAGAGTGAAAGAAGAACTTGAGGCTTGAGAATGAACTTGAAGTTTTGAGAAGCAGCTAAAGTCCAACACCATGTCTGTCATCGTCAATCGTCATCGGCCGCCGTCTACGACCATCGACCACCGCCGACCGTCGTCGACCACTTGTCAGTTGCCACCGATCGCCATTAATCACTGTCAGTTCCTACGACAAACTCATCTGTACATCGACATTTTAATTTTGGAAGCATAGTAACTCTTTCTCGCCTGTGGGACATGTGGTTGCAATTGTAATCATTTTTTTATAGTGAAACTCTTCAGTTGTATCATATCCTGTGGTTTTTTTTTTACATATTTTCCACGTAAAAAATTCTGGTGTCATTACCAATTTTATTCTTTCTCCTAAGTGTTCGTTGAATCTTTGTATCGTGTCAAGCTGATAATCTGTTACTCTTCTGTCACGAATTTTCCCACACACATCAATTATATCTTTCAAATGTTTATCTTTTGCTAAATTGGTTGAATAAAGCTTAGGTTTATAAAAAACTAGTGATTGAATTAATTGGATTTAGTACTCAATCCTCGAGGATATATCTCATTTACAACTTTATTATTGAAAATAATACATGCATTTAGCTACATCGTATTAGCATGTCAACTATTGTCTAGAATCTTCAACTCGAGACACTTGTTGTGCCTCCTTTGAAATTTTTAATTCCTCATGCGCCTGTTCTTTAGTGAGAGGGGGGAGCATGTGTACATCATTCTTGCACAAAAGGTGAATCTTATGTACATCATTTCTAATGTAGTGGGAATATCTTATGCACTTATTTTTTTTATATGGTCGTAAAAACATTCATAATTTCATTTTATATTTTTTCTTGTACAAGAAACTCCATAAATGTCTATATTTGTATTTGTTTTGGCAAAATGGATTGCAAGATAACATGTCCAAATGTCATATGTGCCTCCCATGTATGATATTTGTTTTCTTTCTTTCTTTTTTCATTTTTAATGTAGTGGAGTATAAAAACATTGATCATGGTGTCACAAGCACTCATGCATGCCATATTTCGCTTGATGGGTAGGCAAAATAAACTTTTAACCCCCCTTACACTGGACTAATTTGAGGATACTACTTTAAGACAAAATAATGCAATAAAAATGAAAAAAAAAGACTAGAATATTAATAACAATAAAACGAGCACATGAAATGCATAATAAATTCCATAAATTAATAGAAAAATGAACTGAATAAACTTGCAAGGACCTTAGCGACTCACCTCCAAATCTCTACTTATTATCTTCTAAAATATCATGGACTAAGGAATTGAACATGTCAGACAATCTATTTTTTAACATGACTTTTCCTGCTATGGAACCCGCTCAGGTGCCAACACCAACTAATTATGAAAAAATAGCATGATTTTTATTTTCATAAAAAAATTGTGGTGTTGTTTGTGTGAAATAAACCTCCAAACAAACTCATAAATAAAGCAATATATGAACCTACAAGTCAGTTTTTAAAATGCACGCGTGCCCCAAATGATGTGTGAGTTGACAATGCAGGTAAATATGCAAAATTGAAATATGGATAATTTGCATTAGTTTTTATCTAATAAGCTACATACATTAGTTATAAAAAAAAATTCACTTTCTCGTTATTGGGAAAGACGACATTAAACCCTATTTAACTTTCTGTGAATATGACAAAATTTATAAAGGGCGAGTGATCAATGATCAGACGATGATATATGTTAGGTGCTGGTAATTAATAGATGATGGATAAGTGATGATTTCATATAAGGAAAATTGATAACGGTGGTTGAGCGATAAATTTTAGATGAAGGTGATTGAGTGATGACGATCAAGCGATGATAGTTGGACAACCCAAGTCATCATTAGATCAAGGTTTTGTAATTCTTTCAATATTCAAATCTAAAAACCCCTAAGAATTGAGGTTAGTTTATTTCTTTTGAGAGCAACATTTTAAATATTTGGCCTAAGTCATAAAATATTTCTTGACTAATCTGCACTATTTATTATTATTGGCCATGCATTCAATTTTTATGTATCTTAGTGGCATCAAACTGAGTGATCTTGGTCAAATTAATTTCTTTTTATAAATGCACTTATTTAGATATAAGTATATAAAATTAAATAATTATTTGACCTTGCAACAAATATCAATTTTAAGTTTCATACCACACTTCACATATTTGATTTGGGTTTATTTGGACTAAAATTCAATCATTTTTTATATTGTTGAGTTTGTTTTATTATGCCGTTCACTTTATCAATAAGATTATTGAAATATGAGTTTAGACTATAAAAAATTTACTTTCCAAAATTTTTTAATAAAAAAAGTTACATAAGATTTGTATTTTTTGAATGATTTTTTTAATAATATATCATTCGACGCTTATTTGATGCTTACTTTTTATGTGTCTAAGGCTATGCCAAAACTAAATAAATAAATAAACGCACACACATACACAAACAAATACAAAAACACATCAAGTTTTTGAAAAATTCACAATACAAACTTAAAAATTTAAAAAAAAAAATATATATATTAATGTGATTTCACCGTAGACGGCAATACATATCTCCATTTGAAGCGACGACCTAAGCAAAATTCTTCGAAAATATATAGTTTTACTCTTTCTTGAAGATCCGCATACCTCAAATGACCCATATTAGCAATTTTCATTATTTATTATCTTCGTTCAATTGTTATTATCTAATCACCAATATTTGGTTGTCATTGTTTGACAATTGTCACCCAACCACTAACGTTTGACCAATGATTACAATATTCAAGTTGTCATCTTTTAATTATTATCATTCAATCGTCATAATCGCGATTCACAAACAAATCAATTTTGGAATCTTTTCTTTCCAATTGTGAGGAAGAGTAAAGTGTGATAATTTTTTATATTAATATATATATATATATATATATATAGACAATATATATTTTTTTAGATAACAGAGCGACTCGTGGCTCCTTAAGCGTTGAAACTTAAAAATATTACAATCTATTTTCAAAGTTTTCTTATAAAAGCTGTAATATTTTATGTGTTATTTTCAGTTTTTTTTGTAGGACTGATTTTTTGACAGTGGTACGATACAATGCAGTACTTCTTACTCCACAAATTTTTAAAGCATTACACCGAAAAATTTATA